TGCTATCATGAAAAAATCTACTATTAATAGTTTTCACGACACTCTCAATTCTATTGACTCTCACATTAACTTTACAATTGAGCACGAAAAAGACGGACAACTTGCATTTCTTGACACCTTAGTTTCTCGCAACAACGGCTCAATTTCAACCACGGTTTACCGTAAACCTACACATACTGACCGCTACTTAGATTTTTCATCACACCATGACGAAAAACATAAGATTAGTGCAGCCAAAACTTTAATTTATAGGTCTTTACATTTACCAAGCAACACATCATGCAAAACCCAGGAATTAAATCACGTTTGTGAAGCTCTCACACTCAATGGCTATCCCAAAAACTTGGTTACGAGAATCACTCGACAACAAAGAAATGCAGCAACTCCATCTCCTGAAGAATTAGTCAGAACGTTTTTTGAATCGGTTGAAGGAAAAACACAACCCACCGGATACGCAGTTTTGCCCTACATCAAAGGCCTCACAGAACCTCTTACAAGGCTACTACAAAAGCACGACGTAAAAGTTTGCAACAAGCCAATGAAAACCCTCCAGCAAGAATTTCCATCCGCAAAACACCGACCTTCATCCGAAAATCAGACAAACGTGGTTTATCGTATACCGTGTCAAAGTTGTCCATGGAGTTATATAGGAGAAACCGGAAGGTCGCTGAAGACAAGAAAATCGGAACACGTAAGAAATGTAAAGAATCACAAGACTGGATCTAATGTAGCAAAACATGCATGGACTTATGACCACAGGATTGACTTTGAAAACGCGGAAGTTATCGATAAGGGAAATTTTAGGACCCGAAAAACTCTAGAGTCATGGCATACAGCCTTAACAACTGATGCTGACAACAATTCATGTTCACTTCCCGGACAATATACTGTTCTTATAAAAAAGCAGTCATAGTTGACAATACACACTCATATTTCATGCGCAATTATGCAAATCTTTCTGTATATACAATAATAGACTATAGTTTCATATTTCATACACTCATACCCGTTGAAGGCTACAGATTGGTAGCCGAAAGCTTGTAATAAATATATATTTTTGGTCAGAGAACGTCTATTTTATTATTATGTTTCATCCTGGCCGCGCATCTGCCTCTATTTTTTCAAAAACCATATACCTAAAATTTCTGAGGATCTCATTGGACATACGACATTCGCCACTAGTGAAGAACGTCGTATTAGCCTTCTCATTGGACGTACGGAATTTGTCACTAGTGAAAAATTTCGTATTTACTTTTCCCGCCGCGCCACTGGCGTACAAGAAAACAACAATCAGTTTTTTTAGATGTCCGTTCGACTTTTGATTTGAAATGGCTTCACGCTTCGCAGAGACACCATCCGTAAGCGAATTCATTGAACAACAGGAGAATAATAATACAAGAATTTTAAAGCGAAATAATTCATTTGTTGTAGCTATTGTTGTACTTTTTGATGCATGTTATATTAATATATGTTTCAAACGTTTGGTTTGAATTGTGTCTATCGTTCAGCATGCACTTAAATTTCACTCTAATATACAATAACTCATATAATAAACAAATTACTTCATGGTTGATTCGCTTGTACGATTTTTATTATGCACTCGTTGCGAAAAATTCCTATAAACTCACTCGTTCACTGCCCTCACTCGTTCGTTTATAGGAATTTTTCGCAACTCGTGCATAAAAATCGTACGCGCTCATCAACCATGAAGTAATCTCTATTTATTGCGAAATATTGCAATGACAAACATTTGAGATTACACACACACTGCTCATATACATGTGCATATTGAATATACACAAAATCTATGGTTTATTGGACGTCTGTATATCAGGAACTGATCAAGTGATCTGATTGCACTAAATCTTAAATTAGTAGTTATTTCCTTTCATCAGTACACAGCATCATGACGCCAAGTATAGAGCTTAGATAGAGCTATAACTGTAAATTGTACTGTAGTTTAATATTTATTAAGATGCATAAGTTGAGACATATCGGACTTAGTTTTCAATTTTAGACTGATAAATCAACAGCACTGGAAATATCGTTTTGTTAAACATTTCACTTTATACCATATTCTTTTGTTTCCCGTCGCTTTTTAATTTCAGCATTTAATAATACCCATGAGATCTTAACGCAAAGTGAAAACCACTGATTAGATGCCCTCGGACTCGATCTTCACAGTTGAATAATGCCTTAAAGTAAAGGACAATGGCAACCAAAATTTTTACATATATTTTGGCTATTTCAATCCTACTTGACGACCTAACTATGAAAATATCATTTCCTTCTCGAACATTTTAGTCCACGAGAAAAATGCATGCAAACTTTGTGTTTCGCCGCCATCTTGGAAAATATTTTTGAAAAATTTTCTCGAACTTTGTGACGTCATTAGATGGGTAGCACCAAAAATTACAAGAGATAATTATATTGCGTGCGTGTTATGTTAGCTAAGATATGTCGTTTTTGAGCGTTATACTGGCCAACACTTACCCTGGTTCCAGAGGTTTAAAATAAACCTCTGGTTGAAAGCGGCAATTGATTCATCGAGCCGCGCCAATCAGTTTGAATTAGGGTCAGATCCTGACTCCGTCTCCTGATTGGATGATTGTATTAAAGCTCTCTGATTGGTTATAGATGTTTTATTTGAATCAATCAGAGAGCTTTAATACAATCATCCAATCGGGAGACAGAGTCAGGGTCTGACCCTAATTCAAACTGATGGCGCGGCTCGATGAATCAATTGCCGATTTCAACCAGAGGTTTATTTTTCCTCTCCCCTTCGCAATGAAAATAATAAAAATAAATTTCTGGAACCAGGGTAGCCAACACTCTTCACAATCAAACTGGAGAAGTCTACACTATCAGATAAAAACATCGAGCGACTGGGAAAGCAAGGAATGGCACAATTTACAATACAGGTATTAATTGATCATAAAATTTGCCTTGTTACACTCGAATTTCTGCGTTTATTTAACACGAAGTAGGATATATACTATGAGAAATAGTGTTACAAACAGGTTACAAAATTTTTCTGCCTTTTGTTTTGGCTCTAAATGGAAAAAAAATTACAGTTAATGTATCAAAATGTCCTAGATACATTAGCTATAAAACACGCCAGAATAACAACTGAGTACCTACAACGTCCACGTAAGAATTGGGGAAAACAACAATACATATATATACTGGCCTACCCTGCGAGCAAAGACTTCTCGTATTTCTTCTCGGCATGGCACGGAGAAGCGAGAGCCGACTCTGCAGAACTTGTGTATAAATTCATTTGAGCATGCGCGAAGGTTGCTAAGTAACTGCCTATTTCCCAGAAGAAGATTTAATAAGTAGTTTCCGGATTTTGGATTGTCGGCTCCACAAAGAATATACACAAGTTCTGCAGAGTCTCTCTCGCTTCTCCGCGCGTGCCGTGCCGAGAAGAAATAGGAGAGGATCCGGACTTTGCTCGCAGGGTAATACTGGCCATGATGGCGACTGGACGACACGCTGCAAAGCGCACTGCGCAAAATTTAAATAAATATATACAATATACCAATACTATGCAGTACGCCCACTAAAGCAGTTCAGTCAAAAATTCCAAAACTTAAGAATGAGCTGAACAAGGTAAAAGGACAGGAAAACGAAGAAGTAAATCTAAAAGATTTTTTCGACAAGATACTGTATATGCAGACCATGATGAAACGGCTTGACAAATTAGCCTTTCAGTCACGATGACAAATGTCCGCCATTTTTGGATGACATCTAATTCTCGTTAACTCCTTTACTACCACGCTCCAGGCCTCCAGCCACGTTATCCTCGCGAGGTTGACGGCTAGAAATTTCATATCTTCGGTTCAGTGCATGCTATCAAGACAGAAATAGCACCATTCGATCCAGAAATAAACGATCAACTAATTCCAAACGATAGTTATAGTCATTAATATTATAGCGATTTATGGGCCTTTGAAAGTCAAACGCGATCGTATACTATCAAATTACGCAATAGGCAATTCCAGCTTTTAGTTTAGCGTGCAGGGGACGATGGGAAGTAAGGTATCACATTGGTGATTATGATGAAAAAATATAAATGATGGCCGTGTAAACACGGAGTGATAGCTTATACTTGTAAATATTGAAATATTTCGGTTGTTTCGGTAGTTTTTATTGACATTTTTCAGCATAATTAGCAATATGATACCTTACTTCCTATCATCCCCTGCAGGCATAAACTAAAAGCTGGAATTGCCTATCGTCTGAACAAAAATATAGACTAGCCATACCTTTCGCCGAAAATAACTTCGGCCCCTTAGAACATATCGTCTTGGTAATAGTCTTGTTCGAATCCCCAGCAAAAACATTATTTTGAGTGTTATTTGCAAGCCTATACCTTCAAAGTTGCATCTTTTATCGAGATATTTCCATTTCTTGTCCGAATGTTATCCAGCACATTGATCATCCAACAAATACTGTGAGCTCGAAGTGAGCTAATCCCAACCGGAAATACGACTAAAAAACGCCAAAACAATGCGACGTTCAATCGCGTGACGCTGTATATATAATATCGAGTATATCGGGTGGTCGACAAAAAGCCAATGCAGCCAATTAAAGCCCCGTTTACACTACGCTCAATTTTTGGTACGGCACGGATAAAATTGGTACCCATACCACTTTTTTGGTTCTTGGACTATCTATTTAGCTATGCCTCGTTTACACTAGGCTCAATTTTTGGTACCGTAACACTTTTTGGTTCTTGGACTACCTAAATAGGTAGTCCAAGAACCAAAAAAGTGGTACGGGTACCAATTTTATCCGTGCCGTACCAAAAATTGAGCGTAGTGTACAAAGCAAATTTACCATTGTTCGTCAAAAAAGTTATAAAAAGTCGCTATTATGCGGACTTATCTCGCAGACTTCGGCTGAAATGCCACCCAAAAATGGCGGCGTGAGAAAAGCTAAGTGGATACCATTGAAAGTCGCGAGTCAAGAATTTTGAGGAAAATTTGCGAGATATGAGAGCGGACATAAAAGATCTAAAGGACGAGAGCCAAACACGGAAAGAAAACGATGTTTTCAACAAGGCAACGGCAAGAGAAACTGGAAAAGGAAAACGAAGCGTCATTGACCTCAAAGCAAGGTCAATGCGCGATAACCTCATTTTTTTATAATTTGCCAGAAAAGAAGGAGGAAAATACTACGCAATGTATACACAACTAACGCAAGGTTCTGGAAGAAAAGTTAGGAATAAAGAACACAAGCAGCAACATCAAGATAAACGCGCCGATCACACCGTCTAGGGAAACCGAGAAGAGGGAACCACCCCAAGACTAATAATTCAATTATTTTCAAGACCGGGAGCAGATCCTACACAACGCCAGGAAATTGAAAGGATCGAACTTAGGATTAATAGGCGAGCAATTCCCTGAAGAAATTGTAAAGATCAGGAAGGAACTTTATCCTGAGTTGAAACAAGCAAATTATGCGGGCAAAAAGGCGAAATTGGTGCGTGATAAACTTATTATTGAAGAAGAATTATTTCGTAAATAGACACACTATTGTCAGATCACATTTCACAGTGCATGGACTTTGTATTTGTAGCTATATAATCCTTGGATGCAAATGTCGCTTTATCTTTAGCTTTCTTCGCTAACCATGATTGTACTGAGAATAATGACTATATACTCATTCCCTTTTCACAATCTTGCTAATCATGATTTTAAAACATTACATGAATAATGATTTTGAAAATAGATTTAGCCAAAATGAAAAAAATATATTAGACCAATTGAAATTCGATCCATTTCAATTAGATGAGCAGATATCAAGATCGGAAATATAGTAATATAAAATGTGGTTATTTTAGAATCAGAATTCAAACAGTCAAAAGCTAATTTCACTACTTCATCTAAATATTAGAAGTATATCCAATAAATTTGATTATTTTAAAAATCTGTGAAAATTATTTTAGTTTAGAGCAATACGAATATATCAGTTCAAATCGATCAAAAAGAAGAGGGGAGGTGTAGGTTTATGTTTCTCCAATCAATTGAAATATAAAATCCGAAATGACCTGTCAAAAAATCATGAATTAAGATGTAATTGAAACCATGTACATTGAGATTCAAAAAATGATAGTAAAGATTTAATTATAAGAGTGATCTATAGAACACCAAATAACAAATTCAACGATTTTAGAGATATTGAGTACAATCATAGTACAATCTTAGATAATAATGATAAAGAAAACAAGTTTTGTTACTTAAGGTACAAACGAAGTATATTGGGCCTTATTTGTATGCCTTATCTGTCGTAACTTGCTAAAAGTTTTAAAAGAAATTCTACATGGCTTTCACCCAGCTAAAGCAAGAGCACAGTATACAATTTTATGTAAATATTGATCATCTTTCACTGGGTAAACAATCGATTGCAAATAAATACGCTGCTATAAATACCCAAAATATAGGATTTATCAGAGAGAATATCGAGCTAAATACTTCGCCGCCATCTTGGAAAATATTTTTGAAAAATTTTCTCGAACTTTGTGACGTCATTAGATGGGTAGCACCAAAAATTACAAGAGATAATTATATTGCGTGCGTGTTATGTTAGCTAAGATATGTCGTTTTTGAGCGTTATACTGGCCAACACTTACCCTGGTTCCAGAGGTTTAAAATAAACCTCTGGTTGAAAGCGGCAATTGATTCATCGAGCCGCGCCAATCAGTTTGAATTAGGGCCAGATCCTGACTCCGTCTCCTGATTGGATGATTGTATTAAAGCTCTCTGATTGGTTATAGATGTTTTATTTGAATCAATCAGAGAGAAACAATCGATTGCAAATAAATACGCTGCTATAAATACCCAAAATATAGGATTTATCAGAGAGAATATCGAGCTAAATACTCCGCATGTATATTATATTGAACATTTTTAGTTCAACAAAATTGGAAAATCGACCACACTGTACTTTACGTATTTTATATATATATATATATATATATATATATATATATATATATATATATATATATATATATATATATATATATATATATATATATATATATATATATATATATATATATAGGTATGGTAATGCCAAACGAAGTCTCGAATGCCCTGAGCGGAGGGTCTATAAATGATATATTATACCGAAAATTAAAAGCCTCAAAGTTGAGAATTAAAAACTTGACACATACCTTCGTGAATACGATGTTTTATTTTCGGATTAACGCAAGTATCGTCGCTTTTCTTTCGAATCACATATCGTTTGGAATATTAATGACAACATTTTTCAAAATTTGCTTCAAAATTTTGAAAAAGCCCCAGGTTTTACGTTTAAAATTTGATTATTCATCACTCATCAATACTATTTGTATTTTGTCGGCCATGTTTTTGTCATGCGTGTTGTCTCGCGCGGTCTACGCGAATAATGTTCCACCCCATGTTCCCCGGGGAACATGGGGTGGAACATTGTCAAAAGGAACGCAGGCTCGCTAATTGATGAAGTAAGGCGTGATTCGCGATTAATTTCATGCTCACGTGGCACAA